GCTTTCTGCTCCCATAAAGATTTACAGCCTTGGAAACCCTATACAGGGTCGCTATGAGTTGGAACCAACTCCACAGCACATAACAACAACACCACCATACAGTTGTGTGTTATTGTTGTTGTTAAGTGCTGTCAAGTTGGCTCCAACTCATAGCGACCCTGTATAGGGTTTCCGAGGAGTGGCTGGTGAGCTTAAATGGCTGATCTTGTAGTTCAAACTGACCTTGATGTTCAGAACATTAACCCACAGTGCCACATCAGACCCCAGATGTCCAGATATATTGATACATATACAGATGTATAGATAAAGATACAGATACATGTCCAGGTGTATAGAGATACAACTTTGTAGATACGAATACAGATGTATAGATATATAGCTCTGTAGATACGGATACAGATGTATAGAGATACAGCTCTGTAGATACAGATACGAATGTATAGAGATACAGCTCTGTAGATACAGATGTGGATGTACACAGATACAGCTCTGTAGATCACAGATGCGGATGTACAGAGATACAGCTCTGTAGATACAGATTTGGATGTATAGAGAAACAGCTCTGTAGATACAGATACGGATGTATAGAGATACAGCTCTGTAGATACAGATGCGGATGTATAGAGATACAGCTCTGTAGATACAGATGTGGATGTACAGACACAAATAATAGAGATTCGTGTAAGGCTGTGTAAGGAACTCTGGTAGCGTAGTGGTTATGAGTTGGCCTGTGGACCTCAAGGTCAGTACTTTGAAACTACCAGCTGTTCCATGGGAGAAAGTTGAGGTTTTCTGCTCCGGTAAACATTTACAGCCTCAGAAACCCTGTACAGAGTTGTTATAAGTCAGAACTGACTCTATTGCCCATCGCCAGCACAGATGGAAAGATGGACACACAGATGTCTGGATAGGTTCGCAGCTGTATAGGGACAGATAAGAGACATAGGCCTGGCCAGGAGACAGCTTGCTGAAGGAAGAGACCGTGGATTGGAATTGTGATGGGTTATGGCAATTCAGAACTCCTTTTTGTGTATTTATTTTTAATAACCACAAGGATTATAGGCAGGTGGAAATGACCAAATGTTTTCTTTAGCAAGAGAAAGCAAACGTCTCTGGTTTTGATTAGATGGCCCCTTCTTCACAGCTCCACGTCCACTCAGTTTACTTGCGTTGTGTTGCTCACAGGGAGTCACATCAACAGGAGAATCGTCTACAAAATGTGCTGTTTCCATGAAAGTTTTATCAAAAGTGTAGTTCGGTGCTCAGTTCATTTTCATTGGAAGAGCCTACAAAGCAATTCTGATTCAATCTGGGGGAGACTTATCCAATCGGCTATGAAGAATTTTCTTGATCTACTCATCAAAACCCCTAGACCAGCTATTCTAAGGCAGGCAGAATACATCATAACATAATTGTACTCAAGGACACCTCTCCTGTTGTTTGCTGTTTCTGTATGATATTCAAACGTCTGCCTTTTGAATTTACTTTTACATACTTTTAATCAAAGGGCAAGTACTTTCTTAGAATTTCTTTTCATTATTCCAAACATATTGACACCCTGTTGTTGTTGTTAAGTGCGGTTGAGTCGGTTCTGACTCATAGTGACCCTGTGTAGGGTTTCTGAGGAGCGGCTGGTGAGTTTGAACCATTGCCCTAGCAGTTAGCTGTCCAGTGCTGATCCTACAGCCGCTGATGGCTTCTATGAGAATGAGGAAATACATAATAAGTCATGATATGAAATGTCATGATTAGGCATTGCTTGAAAGATATAGGTGTGTACAATATGCTGTTAAATGATATTTATTTTTAAAAATCATCAACTCTCGTAAGGACTACAGTTTTTTGGGGGTATATATATATTTGTAAACTGGCCCTAGTCTTTAATAATTACTTTTCGAACTCTTAGAGGGAGTGGAAGAACACCACTGGCGCCTCTCTGCTTCTGAGAGAAGCCATTCAGCTTGCATCCATTCCTGTGCCGCGCTGCCTTGCCGCACTTTACTCAGCAGACACGGCCAGGGGATGGCTTGCTGAAGGAAGAGACCCCTGGATCTGTGGTTTTCTGTTGGGAAAATTCAGTCATCTCCGAAAGCACTTTCTTAGAAAACCGTGCACACGATGATCAGCTCAGCCTCTTAGGCTCTCCATATAGAACGTCATTGTTGATTTCAAGCCCATTGCACTATCACTGTGTCTTCCAACCAGGTATCAGGAACATTTTAAGACATAGAGAGATCCGATCCTGTTTTTCCTTGTGGGTTTTTTGTTTATTTTTTTGATCGTGGTAAGTTTTGGTCCAGAAACTGGTTTATTGGACAAAAAAGTGTTCTATCATCGCTCATCTGGCATTTATGTGAGAGAAGAAATATGCATGTGTTGGCAGCAGTGCTTTGGATGGGGGTGAGGATGGACCCTCATCTGAGGTGGCCTCTGTAAGTTAAGGGGCTATGACAGATATGTCAGTGTGTGTGTGTGGCTGTCCCCTCGGAGCTGGCGTGGGAAGAGTCATGCCACACTGTTACAATCCCCAGACGTGTCCCATGCTTCCATTCTGGGGACAAGCGAGCAGATAGGCAGCATACGTGTGTGTAGCCGTAGATGACTGGGGAGGGGATTCTGAACGGTAAAGGCAGCAGTGGATGCCCTGGTGGGCTGCTGTGGGCTAATGCCCTGGAAGGCAGCATTGGTGCTTCAAGTTCATCAGCTACTCCTCAGAATCCCTATGTAGGGTTGCTGTAGGTCAGAACCGACTCAACGGTACTCAGCAACAATGGAAGAGCAGGATTGTTAATCACAAGGTCACTGAATCCAAGGCAGCAGCTACTTCTCAGAAGCCCTATACAGGGTCATTATGTGTCCGAACTAACTGAACAGTGCCCTTGAGGGCTGCAAAAGGCTGGTAGTTGATTCCTCCCAGAGGCACCTAGTGATCTATTGCTCACCAATCACCATTGTAAACCCTCTGGGATACAGTTCTACTCAGACTCACATGGTTGTTGTTATTGTTGTTAGGTGCCATTGAGTTAGCTCCACCTCACAATGACTCCATGTTTTATACCACGTGGTCCTGCACCAGCCTCCAAAGCTCTGGCTGTTTGAGTCCACTGTTAGAGCCACTGTGTCAGGCCACCTCACTGAGGGTCTTCCTCTTTCTCACTGACCCTCTAGTTTATCCATCATGGTGTCCTTCTCCAGGGACTGGTCCCTACCGATAACATGTCCAAAACATGTGAGACCAAGTCTTGCCATCATCACTTCTAAGGAGTATTCTAACTGGGCTTCTTCCGGAACAGAGTTGTTCATTCTTGTAGTCTGGTGTATTTAATCTTCTTCTCCAACATGAGGAGACATACTGAGCCCCCTCAGGTCCCCTCTACCACCAGAGACCCCTCCGTGTGACTCCTCCTACAGAAGAATGCAGGACAGGAGCTCCCCCACCCCCCAGGTCCCCTCTGGGTCCTGAAGCTTAGCCAGGTGAGTCAGGCTCACAGGCCTCCACCTGTGCATGTTGAATTCTCTCTTATGGAGGTGATGCCCCATTATTTAGGTTTGACTATTAATATAGCAGGAGGTAGACTGGTAGCTTCAAGGAGAAGGCCCGTTCTCCAAGCAAGGATTCTTTTCGTGATTTTACATTTATTTGAAAGTGGCTTCAGGGTTTTAATGTTACCTCTCTTCTGTAACTGTGCTCCCAGCCATGAGACACTCCCATCATAAGTGGTCATTTCAGGTACTGGTAACTGAACCTACATACACAAATTTTTACTACTATACTATTTCAGTATCCAAGGAGTCAAAATTTGCAGCCCAGACTTAGGTATGCTTTTGAGGTCAGTTTCAGATTTTCATTTACATAGGAGGAGTGTAAACACCCAGAACCCCGGCCATGAATGCTCCTCTTAGATCCACCCACCCACACCGCCACCTCACACTTTCAAGGCCCAGAACCAGGGGCTCCTTGGTATAGCTGGAGGTTGAACATGTCTGCGAAGGACTGGGATTCCTTTGTTGAAGTTGACTCAGCCATACCTACTTTTGGAGCAGTTCTTCTTCAGAGAGGAGACAAGAAAGTCTCTCTTTACCCTGTTAACTATCTCCCATGTTTTATACCATCAACATTAATGTTTTATTTTAACTGTAGAAGACGCTTCAGTTCTCAAGATGGGCTGAGTGAGTGAGTGATCTTCCCTAGGAACTTACTTTGGCCTGAAATTTCTACTTCTATGTATTTTAGAAATGTTCAAAATGGAAATCTTCTTACAAAAGTCCACTTTTAAATGATAAAAAAATCTTAAGTTGGGCTGAATACTTACTGATAGAGGTCAAAGACCAAAGTCTTTGGTCCAGGTTGCATCTAAATGTAAAGAAAACAAAAATCCTCACCACTGGACCAATAAACAACATCCATATGAATGGAAAAAAGATTGAAGTTGTCAAAGACTTCATTTTTCTCGGATCAACCATCACCACTCATGGAAGCAGCTGTTAAGAA